TGACGACGCCGGAAAAGTCGGCGTCGACGTCGACGGTCACTTTCTTCGACGGGCTCGAGCTTGTTGTTGGTCTCTTCGCACTGCTTGAAGAGCACGCGGGGCGCCGAGACGCACATCTCAAAACCCTCGCGGCGCATCTCCTCAATCAGAATCGCCAATTGCAGCTCGCCGCGACCATGGACGTTGAACGCCTCCGAGGTCTCACTCGCCGTCACCGAAATGGCCACGTTGTTCTCCGTCTCGCGCGTGAGGCGCTCCTTGATGTGCCCGGACGTGAGGAACTTGCCTTCCTTGCCCGCGATCGGCGAGTCGTTGACGCCGAACGTCATTGAGATCGTCGGCGGGTCGAGCTGCGGCGACGGGATCGACGTCACGACCTCCGGGTTGGCGATCGTGTCCGAGACGTACGCGTTGACGCCGGCAATCGTAATGATATCCCCTATCATATTTCCAGTGTCAAATCCGATCAGTTCTTCCAGCGACAGTACCCGCTTCGGCGGTTTGGATCTCCGACTTGACCATGCCGCGCGTCACATACATCTTGGTGACCTTGCCCGACTCGACCTTCTGGCCGTCGCGGTTGACGACGTGGATCGCATCACCGACCTTGACCTTGCCCGTGTGCACGCGACCAGTCGCGAGGCGACCGACGTACGGGTCGTGGCTACGATCTTAGCAGTGAGCTACTTTATAGGCTATTGATAGAAGCACTGCACCCGAGCATGGTCACGGCCATCGAGAAGGGCGTGTCGAGGTCGACCGTCGGCGCGGGAACGTACTCGACGATCTGGTCGAGGAGCGCCTTCATCGACGTCCGGGGCTCGTCATCGTCGAGGGAATTGACGGCCCAGCCCTGCTTGGCCGAGGCGAAGAGCACGGGGAACTCGAGCTGGTCGTCGGTCGCATCGAGGGCCACGAACATGTCGAAGAGCTCGTTCTCGACTTCGCCGCCGAGGCGCGACGTCGGGCGGTCGACCTTGTTGACGACCACGAGCGGCTTGAGGCCGCGGTTGAGCGCCTTGGTCAAAACAAACTTGGTCTGCGACATGGGCCCTTCGGTCGCGTCAACGACGAGGACGACGCCGTCGACCATGCTCAGAATGCGCTCGACTTCGCCGCCAAAGTCGGCGTGGCCCGGCGTGTCGACGATGTTGAGCACCTTGCCTTCGTACTCAACGCGCGTGCACTTGGACATGATGGTGATACCGCGCTCGCGCTCGAGGTCGATCGAGTCCATCACGCGCTCCTCCGAGATCGAGTTGCCGCCGTGCTTGAGGAGCTGGTCGACCAGCGTCGTCTTGCCGTGATCGACGTGGGCCACGATGGCCACGTTGCGGATGCGGTCGTTCGGGAGGCTGGCGAAGCTCCGGCGGAACGACGACGGCGCCGGGCGGCGGATCGCAGCGGCAGCGCGACGCAGGAACATGGTGCGATTGCGGAAATGACGTCCTGCGCCAAACCACCAAGTCGACGCTGCGCGCTGATTGGCTCCTGCGAGATTCAAGATACGGGCATAGACATGCACCGTCGAGCTTTCTCATTAGCGTCTCTCTACCATATACCTACCGCAGCGGTGGACGGCAGAAATCCGTAAGAGCGCTGGAGCATCGATCCTTCTCTCTAAGGAGGTGTGCAAATGCAAGGTCGACAGCGTCTATTCTATCAAAACACGCTCATCGAAGTATGCAAACAGGTTCAGTGAGACAGTATTGAAACGAAAGTAATATTTAAGAAATGTTGGAGAAAATATGTTGAGGAAAATGGCGGGCCCGGGGCCCGGGGATGGATGTGGGAGGTTAGGAGCGCTCGACGTCCTCAAGGAAGCTCGTACACATGTACAGGCGTGAATGCGTCTACGTTAGTGGCAACGCTCGAGCCCACTGCAGAGAGCTTCCTATAGATGCCGCCAAGTACACGCTGTAGGTATAAGTTGAAGCTCTTACAGCGCGGCTGGTGCAAAGTGGGCTGGCTCCTAGCTCACGAGGCGTACGATGCTACGTACACGTGCGCAATACTGAGCGCAGCCTCTGTCGCCCAAGCCAGCGAGGCGAAGACGTTGCCCTCAACGTCCACCCACATGTTCGTTCTCGACGCTTCATCTGGCCACAGTGCGGTTGCCATCACTCTCGTACCCAGTGTACGTGGCCAATAGCACTCGCCACGAGTTGGCGCGTACACTCTGTCGTAGCCTTTCAATCAAAAGTACTCCCGGTACATTGAGCTGGAGCCTACTAGCACACGCGTGTTTCGGAAGGGTCCCTTCTTGTGCCCCGGGGTACGCACTCGCATTTTGCCCTACCCCGGTACATTGGGTGTCACGCCAAGATCGCGTTGAAGCGTCGCGGATGTCGGAGCTGCTCGTGCGCTGGCTCAACGACGAGGTCCAGCTCTCGGTGGTCGTGACCGAGTTCGAGGCGACGTTTGCGAGCGGGTATCTCTTGGGCGAAGTGCTCTTCAAGGCCAACCAGCAGCACAACTTTGGCGACTTTGTACCGAGCGACTCGGCCGATGCAAAGATAGTCAACTTTTGCCTCCTCGAGCCTTCGATGCGCGCGCTGGGCATCCGCTTGGACCCGATCTTGGCATCGAGCGTCATGAACGAAGCGAGCGGCGCAGCCACCAAGCTGCTCTACCAACTCAAGGCACTTTTCCGTACTTTCTGCCGTCGTCCTGACACATCATGTGGTAGACAGCGATCGCACGCGCGCATCGGTCCGGCACCGTGTCGTGTCGGCCCTATGCACCTGGCGGCGTTGTGCCCATCCACAACGTACCCGGCCGACTGCCCAAGACGGTCTTCGACCCGATCAAGCACGCGTCGTTCGAGCACGCGATCCGACTCCACGTCAAGGCCCAAGACGAGCTCAAGCGTGAAAAGTACAGTTCCCATCTCGCGTTGGTCTGTGAAATGCTGGGCGTAGACGCAAGAAGGCGGCGGCTGCGCAGCTGGCCCTCGACAGGGTGGCGCAAAAGGCCGCGTACCACGAACACCTCGAGGCGACGCGGCAGCAGCGCCTCCACTTGACCCAAATCCAGCGCGAGTTCACCCAAGTACATCGCCACGATCTCGCCTGCTGTTGCGATGACGCAAGTAGGTCACGACCGAGGGCGAAACCGAGGCCTGGGTGGCCGCGACAACCAAGAAGCGGGAGCGGGAGCGCCGAAAAGCCCGCTATGAAAAGCTGGTGGCGACGCGCGCGGCGGAGCGACAGGTGCCAACGTATGTCGCCCACTACTCTTTCACGCGCATGCTGTAGGCCACGGCGCTGGCGACGGCAAAGGACCAAGTGACCACCGGCATCGCTATGTTCGAATCCACGGTAGGCCCACACCGGCTTGTCGTCCCGCTCTGGACGCGTGCAAGTAGCTCGCCGAGACAACAAAGAAGAGCAAGCCGTCCAAAGGTCTCCAGCTCCCGACGCAGCTCTCGATCGGGTACGGTGTGCGATCGCTGCGCACGACCTTGAAGAGCATGGACGTGACGGTGCCATCGTCACCGACATCAATGCCCAGCGTCGGTGAGAAACGCCGGCAGCGCGAACTCCGCGGCGACATCCAGCGGAAGCGCCGCGCACGCTTTCTCAAAGCGTGCGACAACCACCAGCGCGCGCGCAACGACGACGTCGTGCAGGCGGCGCTCGAAGCCACTCTGCTCCGCGCGACGACGACCGAAGCCGAGCTCGATACGAAAGAAGCCAACGTCGTCGCGTACATGGACGTCGTCGCAGAGAACCGGGCGCGTCGGAACGAAGAGTACGCCCAGCGCGCGAAGACTGACCTCGTCGAAGCGACCCGGCGCGATGCCACGGCGTACGGCATGCTGCACCACCGGTTCACGGACGCTGTGCAAGCCCAGTGCGAGCGCGCCGAGCGCTTGACGGTCGCGATGGCGGCGGCGGCGGCCGAGACTAACGTCGCGATCGCCCACGACGCGTTGAACCGCGTCATCGACTTGGCGCTGGCTACAGTGACGTACCGAGAGACGGCGACGTGGATCTTGCCATCCGAGGTGTTTGTACCGCCGTCCACGTGGCGGGAGATCATGGCCTTTGGCGCTAACGCAACAGACGACGTCTTTGCATCCGGCTTCGCATCGCGCGATTCGGAGAGCGTTTTGAACGCGTTTGAAATCGAGGGCCATATCAGTACTGCGCGCCACGCGGTGATGAGCGAGTCGAGTCTGGAGAGTGTCGACGCGGTGACGACGGTGCCGTCGTTTGTCTCGGGCAAGCTGCCCCGCGAGCGCGTCCTCGGCGAGATTGTGGCCTACTGCCGCGCCTGCACCGCACCGCCGACGACGGCACCGACACGCGAACCGTTTCCGGCGTTCGAACTCAAGCTCGCACTCCTCGGCAAGCCTTTTGCAGGGCGCAAGACATGTGCGTCGAAGCTAGCGACGCAGTACAACCTCGAGCCGCTCTCGGTACACGCCCTTTTGGAAACCGCCATGGCCAATCGCTCGGACGTCGGTGTCGCCGCGACCAAGCTCCTCGCCGCCGGCAAGTCGATTCCCAATGCTCTGTATCTGACGCTCTTGGAGCGAGCGATCCGAAGCATCGACCCACGTGTTAAGCGCGGCTGGGTCCTCACCGACTTTGTCGCGACCCTCGAAGAAGCCATCGACGTCGAGCGGTTGCTCAGCGGGAATGTGCCCGAGCCGACGCCGTTGTTATCCCGTAGCGATCTCGCACTGGCGCTGCCGCCGCCCGCGCTACCTGCGAACCACTTCCTCGGCAAGTCGGGCTTGGACTTGGTGTTTCGGCTTGAAGTCGACCGCACCAAAGTATTCCGACATTGCCTCGGCAAGCTCGAAGACCCCGTCACGGGCGGTCGCTTTCACATGCAAGACGCGCCGCCGACGGAGGCCGATGCCCGAAGCCGCCTGCGTCCGTGGCGGGACCCAACCATCGCCGCCGAAGCACTCTCCCTCTTCTCGCACGCGTACGATGTCGCGATCCCGTCGCTCGTCGGCTGGTTTGCGCCGTACGGGACTCTGCGCACGGTGATGGGCGACGACCTTGTCGGCGCGATGTGCGACTACATTGACGCGTTCTTACATGCGGTCGCTGCCGCCGAGACCGCCGCCTGTCGCGAGAAGGAAGCTGTCGCGAATGCAGCCATGGGCGTGGAAGAGGAGCGCCAGGGTGCTATCGCGCTGCACGACGAGACGTTGCGTCTGGCTCTGGAAAACGAAGCGGTCGCAGCGCAGACGCTTCGGGCCGGCGAAGATGCCAAGCTCAAGAAGGACGAACTGGTGGCGCTTCGAGGTAGCGTCGAGGCCGCGCACCAGAGCGTGCTTGATGCGACGCAGGCGGCCAGTGCCTTTCTTCTCGCGGACCGCGACGGCCACGCGGCCACCCTCCCGCTGCGCGTCGTCAGCGTGGTGCCCGAGATCGACGTCGCGGCGTTGACCTGCGGCGTCTGGGAGGCCTCGGACAGCCAGTACAAGCGAACGCTGGAGCATGGCTTTTCGATGCTCCGTGCGTACCGCAGCCGCGTCGAGGCGCACGCCGTCAACGTCCTCTCCGAGATGGCAGCGTTTGCGCGCCGGCCCGATGCCAAGCAGGGCATCTTGGATGCGTTCCAGTGGGATTTCAACACGAGTGTGCTGCATGACATGCGCTTCGACGCGAGCACGAAGGCCGAGCTGCACCTGCGGGTCGACAGTCTCTTGGACCAGCTCGTCGCGGTCCTCGACTCCAAGGGCGCCGAAGCATTTGCGCTGCTCGAGACGCTCCTTCGCGACCAATGGAAGGAAGATGCATTAATGTCGATCCAGCTCCTCGGCACGATGCTCTTCCAGGCCGAAGTCGACGTCTTCCACGCCAGCGTCACCGTCATCACCGATGCGATCGCCGGGTTCGAAGTCGGCTTTGTCAAGTCGACGGACGACGGCAAGATCCCGCTTCTCCCACTCGGCAAAGACCCGGTCGAGGACGAGAAGGAAGCCGTCGTCGCCCCCACCAAGGCGTCGGCCAAGAAGAAGGTGGTCGTCGTGGAAGTGGAAGTCGTGCCGCTCACGCCGGCGCAAGAGGTCGCCGCTGCGTATCAAAAGGCTCGGGATGCGCTCGCCACCGTTGCGTCCAAAGCGCTCAAGCTGCCAAACGTACCAGGCTCCGCGACGCCAAGTGGCTCTTCCGGGCCGCCGATTTCAACAGCCAGCAAGAAAGAGAAGGATGCCGGCAGCGCGACACCGGTGGCCAAGAAGGACACGATAGCGTCGTTGAATGCGGTCGCTGGCGTCGGCTTCGAGTACGACTACGTACTGAGTCGGCTCGCTGCGCTGCAAGACCGGGTGCTCGACACCATGAGCTACGTCGATCTCGTGCTGACGTCGCTCGAGGCCGACCTTCGGAGCTTTGTCTCGGCCCGCCTCGCGTACGAGAAGGATGCGATTCTGTCGCTCGTCAAGTGCATCCGCGACGCGATCGAGCACGACGAGAGCTTGCCGTTCCGGCTCCTCCTCGAGGTACACGTCCTAAACCACGGTGGGTCTTGACGCTCACGTGGTGCGCATGATGCATCTAGCCGCCGTCGATGGCGCACATGCCACCGCTGCGCCAAGATGGACTGGACGTCCAAGCACGCATTGACAGCAGTGTCCGCGTGATTGCGACGCCGAGCGTGCCTCTGTACCCGTCCATCGAGCACTGGGACGACATGTACTTGAACACACGCCAGCTCAATGGCGTCATGGCCATGCTGCGCGAGCTCGCAACGTCGACGCTCGGCCACACGATCGACGTGGTCCCGCGGGTGACATTCGATGACGGGCTCGCGCGTCTCGCGGGCCGCCCGACGACGATGCTGCCACCGGCGTGGCGCAGCGGTCTCAGCAAGCTCGGCGCGTACTTTGATACAAAGCATAGCGGTGTCGTCAAGGCGTTCCCGGACGTCGCCCGAGTGCTGCAGGCCAAGCACCGCGTCGACGAGATGGTGCTTCATTTGTAAAAAGCAACATAAATGCAATCCATTGTACTTTAACTTGTCGGGGTTCGAAGCGGTGTCCACCCAAGCACCGTCGCATGCAGTCCACGCAGCAGGATGGCCTTGTCCTGTGCACGAGCTACGCTTTGGGTACTACTGCTACCAACGGAATGCCCGTGCACTATGCGTTCAATAGTGTTGAGGCGTCGAGATGTGTCGGATGCGATGGCAGAATTCAAATGCAAATCGTCGTGTTGTAAGCAGACCACAAGGGACTAATCGAAGAAGGACGGCGACAGCGGAATCGTCGCATACTCCGTCTACTTGGGGAAGCCCGCGTTGTTGGACATGATGATGCCGACGATGACGCCAAAGATACCGAGCGCGCTGGCGAAAATCTCGACAATCAAAATCTTGACGTACAAGTTGGCGTTCTGGGCGTCGGCGAGCGCGCACGAACTACCGGCAATGCCGACCGAGATGCCACTCGCAATGTTGGTGAGGCCGACCGCGAGGCCGGCGCCAAACACCGCGTAGCCAGCAAAATAGAGCTGGTTGAGGTCGAGCGGCGCGTCGTGCGGGCCGCGCACGCCGGGCACTTCGACCTTGTTTTGCAAGATGATCGAGATAATGACACCGTAAATGGCCGTCGCCTCGCAGAAAATGATCGACACCAAGTTCTTGGAGCGAATGCGCGGCGCCTTGACCGCAGCGCCGAGCAAGCTCGAGCCCGTCAAGAAGATGCCCCTACGCCGTCGCTCTTAGCATGAAAAGAGATAGACCGAGATCATCGCATACCAGGCCGCGCCGATGACGGAGAAGCCAAGGCCGACGGCGATACCAATGTTGCCCCGACACTGTACGGCGAAATGACTCGTGAGGACATCACCCCACCCTACGACACGGGAGGCCATGAGCAACCTGCATATCGATGGACGCGCCAAAGCAGCGCGACCCGCCGACGCATGGGCCATGGAGAGATGACCGCGTCGCCGGCGCGTCGCATGGCGGCGAGGCTAAGTAGTCGTCTACCTTCGTTGAACAACGCATCCGTAGCCACGCTCATCTTGCTCGTCGACTTCTGCCAAGCTCCCAAATGAAACAGCCCTCGGGCAGCGTCAGAATTATACCTGACACGGAAATAGTCTTGTCCATTTTATACTTGTCCATTGTATGCTTCATTACACCATATGCGTGTTGAACGGGGAAACGCAGGCATTCTGGTTATAGTGTGGCAGAAATCAAGAAATAGCGTTCAGCATCCCACGCTATTTTAGGCCGTTAGGATGCAGTCAATTGGGTTCGACGGCTAAACCCACCCAACTGTACGCCCGTGGCTCCTGTTTCGATCCGCCCTACAAGCTTGATTTTCATAATCCTCTTCTGTAGAGCTAGCCCAGATAAATTGAATCTTCTTATCCACGCTCGCATTGCTGGAAGAGCCTCATGACGCGCCCGAGTCCCTACATAGTGCCTCTTTGTTGGGTGGTTTTCGCCGATATGTGGGTGTTTTTAGCTTCTCCTTGCCCGGATGATATTTATAGTGTTCATGCATATATAGTGTAATTTTGATGCGTTTCGGAAATAGTGTTTTTGCAATCCACTGGAAAGCGCACCCGCGGTACCATGGCGACCGTCTTCCAGCGCATGCAGTACGCCCTCTCGGGCACGACGGCCGGCCGCCGCTTCCAGGTACGACTGCCACGTCATGGCCTTCTGTGTGCGCCTCCTTGATGCAACGCGCGCGTCGTAGGAGCAAATGGATATCGCGACGATCGCGATGCTGACGCACCTCAAGGAGCTCCATGTTGCCCGTGGTCCTGGCATCGTGTCGCCCGAGTACATGCATGCATCCATCAACTTCTGCTCATGCATGTGGGCGTAGAGAGAAGGAAGCGTTGTTCGAGCAAGCCGTCGAGGCCATGGAGTCCAAGACATTCGAGGAGCACAAGGCGGTGGCCCAGACCGCGCTCACCAAGCAGGTACGACCCGACCAGCGCTGGCACGTACTCATAATCTTGTAGGTCGAAGCCATGTTTAGCGCGCTCGTGCTTGGCAACCAAGTCTTGCAGCAGAAGCCCAACGTCTTCTCCATCACCGCGGAGCGTCCGGCGACGTCGCCCCACGTATGCGCATGGTCCTCGCATATGTCACCCTCATGCAGGCGTGGTCTGTAGACAACCATTGAAGGCTACGTCCAGGACCATGTCGGCTTTTCGCTGCAAGTGCAAGACTCGACGATCGACAACGCCGGTCGCGGCCTCTTTCTGCAAGGGACCGCGGTCGCAGGGACGCTCGTCGCGCTGTACCCTGGCACGGTCTACCTCTCGGAGCACTACCGCAAGGTATATACGAGTATAGACAATAGTGTGCCCACTCCCTTTGATCTAGAAATACTTTGACGTTGTCTCCAACAACCCGTTTGCGCGCGCGCGCTTTGATGGCGCCATCATCAACGCCAAGGACCAAGGTACGCCTTCGGACGCGGCCCACGCTTTGTATCAGTGTATCAAGTAGTGATTCCGCATGCGAACCATTATGCGCTGGCACAGATGGTCAACCACCCGCCTGCCGGCACGTCGCCCAACGTCCTTCCCGTGGCCTTTGACTTTCCCGCTGCAGGTGCACTATAATCGTCTTGGCCGTTTGACGACCGAGTGTATTGGTGTAGAGCCGTTCACGTCCGACGCGTTTGCGCCGTACATTCCCAACCGCTACGTGGAGCAGCCGTCGCTCTTTGCGATGTTTGGCAAGCGCGGCCTCGTCCCGGTAAATATGTACTTACAAGTCCCCACTCGGTTCTTATCCAAAAGGGTTAGGGTATCGCGCTCGTCACGTTGCACGATGTCACGGACGAAGAGCTCTTCCTCAACTACCGGTACTCGTCATCTCTCTTGCAGTATATCGCGTCTATATCCTCGTGGGTGTAGGTACAACCCAAGCCTGCCGTACCCGGAATGGTACACGCCCGTCGACAAGGACGCGGACGAAAAGATGTGGGGCTAACCAGTACGCACATGTTATAAAGAACGTTCTTGGAGCGTGCGTTGCACGCGTTCGAGGTGGGCTTGGGTCGCCCGGAGGGCCTCTTGGACCTTCTCGCTCGTCGGCGAAGACGGATGCCACCGCGCGTCAGGGGTGAGGCAGGCGCGCGTCTTTGCGGGCTCGGCCTCGACGCGGCTGGCGACAGCGGCTTGGCGCTGGCTCGCCGCGGCTCGTTCCTGAGGCGTCAAGTACGCCCAGCTCCGAAAGCTCATGGTGGCATGGATGTACCTAGCATACAAACTAGACTTCTCGAGAGTTGGAGGCAGCGTTGTACGGTAGATAGGCGTCTGGCGGTGCGCTGAGCAAGATGGACACGGACACGCCAGTGGATAGAAGCAGTGACGCTGTTGACGCCGCCGCGTCTGTGGCGACGATCGTGCGGTCCGTAAAGACGACGCGAACTCGACCGTCGCCAAAGGCTCGGAAGCGCCCGACGGCCGTCGTCTGGTCCTCCACGATCGCGTTGGCATCGATGGTTGCTGGCGACGGCGCCTAGAGACACGCACGACGTTGGTGTGGCCCGAAGTACGAGGCGCCTACCGACGGCGCGGGTCGCAGCTGGCTTGCGCTTTCATGTAGAAACGCCATATTGTTGCAAATCGCCGTCAGGTCGTAGAGGGGCCTACATCCATTTTGAGCAACGTGGTGTGGTCGAGTCGGCGTACAGACCGAGACGTCGTCGGTGGCGGCACGGATGTGAGGGTGAAGCAATGTTCAAACGGCGCTTCGGACGTATAGTGCTTGAAAAAGCCTTTGGCAAAAACGAGGATCGACGTGTCGGCGGTGAGCAGCGCCTACATGCGGCTTGGCTTCAAAATGCACCAACGGAAGCAATGGCGTACGTGGACGCTCGTGGGCAGAACGTGGAACGACGCGTCTCGCGTCCACTCGGCGACTAGCGGGCGGCGCAGTGTGGTTGCCGGCACCTGTACGTGCTGGCCCACGTCGTAGACGTCGACAGCGACAAGGGCTGGCGTCGGCAGCTCGTCAGGGCGCATGGCGACAGCGGCCCAGTGCGGCCGCACGCTAAACGCATGATTGGTCGGTGCTGGCGTCGTCTTGTATGACGCATCGACGTCGATGGTGAACGTGCTCTCGTGGGCCAAGTGGGCGTGGTGGGCTGCAACGAGCACCGAGGCCGGGTACGCCCAGTGCTGTGGGATCGACGATCGAAAGAAGCGCTGCGAGATACGTGTGGTGCGCGTCCGCGGTCCTCTGTCGGCTCTGGACGTGGCGACCGGCACGGAGCGCGTCGCGTCGAAGACGGTGCCCGTGGCATCCAGGCAGACGCGGGCGAGGCCGTCGAGCGAGTCGAAGCCGTAGGCGCCAGAGGAGGACCGCATCGCGCTGAGCTTGAAGCCACCGCAGCGCCAGCGAAAGGTTGTCGGAAGAGGTCCTTGGCGCCACTGCACGTCCTGGAGATGATGCTCGTGCACGTAGAGGGGGCGGTCGCCGGCATGGAGGTTCCGGAACGCAAGGAGCGCACGCAGAGGCAGAATGTAGGCGGACGGGCATGAGGCCGAGCTAAAGCGCTGGATCGCGCCAGACGTAAAGGCCGACGCGTCAATGACGGAGAAGCAGTGGCCGGCGGGTTCGAGGACGAGGCAGACGGCAGTGCGCCGGGACAGTGGCGATCCCGGAGAGGCGCGCAGCGAGGACGATGCGACATGGCGCCGCAAAGGCCGCTGGAAGCTGCCAATCGCCGTACCATCTTGCAGCAGTAGCATACGGACAGCCTCCATGGGCGGGATGGGCAGCCCGCTCGACGATGCCATGCTGGCAGATCGGTGCTGCCTGATTTGCTACTAGTACTGGAAAGCACGCGTCCTGCTGATTGGTCAGAACATTTACACGAATGATTGGGTAAAAAGCTTGCACTGAACTCCTTTCATTGGCTCGTTTCGATTCGGCGGGCTTGTCCTAGTCTAATCAGACGCAACAATGGGCGATACGGTGACGCTTTTATGCAGCCTGTGGGTCCTGCGTTCGCGGCGTCTTGACATCGAATACGTGTCTCCATCGCCTGCATGTGTGCGGCAACTGCTAGCGCGCCATGGTAGTGCATGAAACGCATGCATCGGTGCTACTGCGTACCAAGGGTGCAGCCGCCAATCGCTCTCAAAGACGATGGATTTGAAATTCGGATCATTTAGGTCTCAACGTTGTCAAAGTCCGAATTCGCCCAAAATAAATCCTACTTTTTAATCTTCACTTGCAGTTTGTATTGGTTTGCAATCTATTACAATTAGAAAGTGCAAACTCAATGGCTGGCCGCGACGCCATTTTGCATCGATTGCCATGCCGCCCAAGAAGAAGGAAGAAGTGCCCAAGGTCTACCTCGGCCGCCCGACCAACAACGTCAAGATCGGTATCGTGGGCCTGCCCAACGTTGGCAAGAGTACCTTCTTCAACACGCTCTCGAAGCTCAACATCCCGGCCGAGAACTTTCCGTTCTGCACGATCGAGCCCAACCAGGCGATCATCCCGGTGCCGGACCAGCGCTTCAACTGGCTCTGCAACAAGTACAAGCCGGCGAGCGAAGTGCCCCCGGTGATCCATGTCACGGATATCGCTGGTCTCGTCAAGGGCGCGGCCGAAGGCGCTGGCCTTGGCAACAACTTCCTCTCGCATATCCAGGCTGTCGATGCCATCTACCACATGGTGCGTGGCTTCGACTCCAAGGACGTGACGCACGTCGAAGGCAACGTCGACCCGGTCCGCGACATCCAGATCATCCAGCAGGAGCTGCGCCTCAAGGACATTGACCGCGTCTCCAAGCAGGCCGATGGCATGAAGAAGAACGTCGAGCGTGGCATTGGTGGCAAGGAAAAGAAGATGGAGTACGAGGCGCTCGTCAAGGCCCTCGAGTGGCTCCAGGACGGCAAGGACATCTCGTTCGGCAACTGGAGCGTGTTCGAAGTTGATGTGCTCAACCAGCTCCAGCTCCTCACCGCCAAGCCCGTCGTGTTCCTTGTCAACGTCAGCAAGCGCGACTACCTCCGCAAGGGCAACAAGTACCTCCCGCTCATCGCTGAATTTGTCGCGTCGCGCGGTGGCAACGAGCCCGTCATCCCGCTCTCGTGCGAGTTTGAGATGGAGCTCATGGACCTCGAGTCGGCCGGCCAGCTTGAAGAGTTCAAGAAGACCAACCCGAACGACAAGTCGATTCTGCCGCGCATCCTCAAGACGGGCTACCACGCGCTCGGTTTGATCCACTTCTTCACGGCCGGCAAGGACGAAGTGCGTGGCTGGACGGTCCGCAAGGGCCGCAAGGCGCCCCAGGCCGCCGGTGTCATCCACACGGACTTTGAGAAGGGCTTCATCATGGCCGAAGTCCAGTCGTTCGCGGACCTCAAGGAGCTCGGCTCGGAAGAGGCCGTCAAGAAGGCTGGTAAGCTCAAGCAGCAGGGCAAGAACTACGAAGTCGAGGATGGTGACATCATCTATTTCAAATTTAACAACTAAACGCGAACTGCTTTCCGTCCCTCTCTCGACCTCTGCCACTTCAAATCCGCCGGCAATCGGTGTTTTGACAACAAAAAATGCACATTCGATTAGGAGGCCCCCTCAAACCGTCGCCCTCGACGCGTGCAGGCCTGCGTTACGGCGGCGTCGCGAGTCGGAGCGCCGTCCAGAGCTCGTGCGACTGGTTCTTGAGCGCGGCTTGGAGCGTCTCGAGATTGTACTTGGACGTCGGCACGACCGGGTTGACGACCGCGCCGTTGTAGTTGCACCACACGTTGTAGTACTTGTTGATGGACGGGCAGTAGGACATGGCGCAACCCATGTCGGTGATGCTCGGCGACATCATGTTGCTGAAATGGCCGCAGTCGCTCCACGACCCCGTCGCGCACTTTTGGGCTTTAAAGTCCCACTTGGCCACCTCGCCGTACCTAGGATTCTTCTATACTCCTTGTCCGTCAGAGAGGGATCACTGTACCATTGCCAAGCCCCCGTGCGGTCGCCCCAGCACGACGCCGACGACGCGCACGACTCAAAGTTGCCGGCAAGGTTCTGGAATCCCGTGGGTCCGCCGTGAACAAAGCCAGGACACGAATTCGCAAACGCCTGGAGCTTGGCACTCAGCTCTGGGTTCCAGGCGACGACAGAGAGACCGTGGGCGACACGCAGCGCGTTGGTGACGTCGAGGAGCCGCTGCGCGTTGAATTGGTTGGTCGTTGCCACGTGCTTGGCGTCGGGGACGTCGGCGTTGGGCGAGAGCGGCACGTAAAAGCTGTACGCGGCACACGTGGCGAGTCCGGCAGCGAGAAGTCGCAGGGTGTGCCACATTTTTCAAGCCAATGCGTTTATGAAAGACCCGATATAAATGCGACCGCCTTTCTCGCTATCTATAGACGATGCACATCGGCTCAAGATAGAATCCAACCCCTCGTTGGTTAGGGTTAGGTAGCGGTGCACGGCGCACGCCTTTTAACCACGTTTACCATGCGTGAGATGCATTTGGGACAGGGTACGTTGAACGTAGATGCCCATGATCCCGTACACCAAGGGAATAAATTCCCTTGCCGTACACCGACGATTTGATAGAGTCTACCGTTCCAGCTACGACACACGTACAACTCGAACCCACCGCTAGATCGCAGGCTACCCCAAAGCAAAACCTCGACCAAAGAGCTCGCCAACAATCTGCCCCAAGAAGACACGAGGTTAACTCTAGTATTGTACTTGAGAGACTCTGCGTGTTTCAACTTGAAACACGCAGAGTCTCTAGTAGACTCTGCGTGTTTCAACGAATACGCGTTGCTAGGATAAGGAATCCCATTATGCAGCCAGTAGATCATTCATTGTACGCAGTCTACGGAGAGAAGGGCATGCAACCATCCGCATTCTCGTCTTCAAGATCTTCGGCGTCGTTTTGAAAGAGCACTGCGAGGTCCATGACGTGCACAGAGCCGAGATGCTGTTTGCCGAGCATCGAACGCAGCGCGCCGTGGCGTCCGACTGCACTGCTGCGCCGGCCGTTGCCAGTGATGCTAGGACGACAGTCGATGGAAATACCCGGGCGATGCTCTCTCCCGGCGCCTTGCATCGAAACGCTCACGCGGCGATCGTTGAGGCTTGGCTTGGGCGCGATGCTCGGACGGCGATCGCTGAGGTTCGGCTTGATCGAGATGCTCGGTCGGCGGTCCGCTTGGATCGAGAAGCTGGTCCGCCGGTCGTGGCTAATGTTCGGCACGGTGCCGTGACGCGTCAGCGTCGGTTTGACCTTGTGCAACGACAGCGTTCGTTTGGATCCTTCGTCCGCCTTGCTATCCAGCGCATCGGGTGGTGCGAATTCGGCAGCGGTGCGTGGCAACTCGGGCTCCACGTCCCGCGTGACGCTCGGAGTGTCATTGCGCGGGATATCGCTGGCGGTCTTTCGTTGCAGCAAATCGGGCGTCGTTAACGCGCGCTTGATGTACATGGCGGCTTTCTGGCTCGCAATAATCTTCTTGAGCCGCTGCGATGACTGCCGCCTCTTGTTCTTATTGACTAGGTCCATGATAAGACCCTTAACATGCCAACGAGACGCGGTGAGGACGTACACACAACGATATGCGCGACCATCAAGCTCCGGCGCTCGTGCTCCGAGAAGAGCTGCGAGTGTTTCACTACACTGACATAGTAGACCGAGCTCCCAAGCGTGACGCTGGCTATAACACCGACGACGGCGACGTTCGAGGACGCGGGGGCTAATGGGAAACCGGTTGCACAGCACGCGATCAAGCTAGCGAGAAAGACGCTCGCGGCAAAGCCGGCGGCGACCCGGCGACGGGCGACCGCACGACGCGCGCCCGCCGACGCCTGCCGTTGCACCGACGTGGTAAAGTACATGTAGCCGTAGCACTGCGCCATGTACATGATGGACGCACACGCTGCGGCGCACGACTGTAGACAAATTACAGGGGCGTAGTGCGATGCGAGGCACGCGGCGAAGCTGAGCGCCGAGCCGACGTACAGGGCTCGGCGCGGCGTCCGGTGCCGACCCACGCGCCGCCGAAGCGACCGGTGCACCAAGCGGGACGACGCCATGTACGAAAGCACGCGGCTGTAGCCGTGCATAAAACAAAATGCGCTCGCTAGCATGCTTGGCAATGAGAGCAGGGATGCCACCTGCATCGAGACGCTCCAGCTGTCGGCAAGCCCAGGAGCGAGTGGCGGGTACACGGACGGGGCGGTCCAGCTTAGAGGGGCAAAGCCGACCGTGATCACTCCTAAAATGAAGGACGATGCGATCGCGATGCGCATGGCTTGGCGCTGGACGAATGGGAGCGAAATCTGCGGGTCGTCAACGTCCTGGCCGCAGAGGTTGAGGCACTCGAGTCCCATGAAGAGACGCATTTGCGACGGCAGAAGCGCCGCGAGTTCAAGCCCCGAGCTCCACATGCTTTTGGTGCGCAGCGGTCGCAGTTCGAGCCGCGGAACGCTGCTGCCGAGGTAGACGACGAGCCCGAGGATCGTGGTTGTTGCGAGCACGTTGTAGCTTTTCCAGACGCTCGGTCCACCCGCCAAGTGCACGTGCGTAAGAAGCGCATAGAGCACAAGGTATGTGATCGGTTGAAACGGCGCGAGGTCGGGCCACACCAGCGCGAGGGTCGCACCGAGAGACTGCACCGCGTCGGCCGTGCAGAGAATGTACTCGAAACACTCGGCGACCGCCACGAGGAACCCGCCGTAAAAGCTGACGGCTACACGCGCGAGGCCAAACGCGCCGCCAGAGAAGGGTATCGCAGCGAGCAAATCGCTCGTGCAGACGCTCATGCTGTAGAACGCCGATGCGAGAAGTAGGTATGCGACGCTGGACAGCGTCGCATCGGAAGCATCCCAGCGAGCCAAGTACAGGCCACTTAAAGCAATCGAGAGCGAGAAGGCCCAGAGGTGCTGACGCCGGACAAGAAAGGCGGCGTCGATGCCGAGACCAGCCTCGTCGCGCGACGACGAGACCATCAGTGTAACGTGCTGGCAACTATGTATAGCAAGAAAGGCGTGTCTGTCATATTCGGACTCTACAAGTCCTATCGAGCAGGGCAACAAGAGATCGCACGATGGACACTTGTGTAATATTTGGACGTACGCGCATTGTCGCTAGAGCCCATGCAGTGTCCTTCGACTACAGTTGGTGCGACGACTTGGTACGCACCAGAGAGCGTAGTCGGCGCCATTCGCTGGCCACGGCGCGCAAGTGATATCGGTTGTCGATGCAGCCTGTGTCTTGGAGCGAGCGATGCTGCTGCAACAAGATCTTACGCGTTGTCGTCCCTGAGGCGATGTTGCGGCTCGCATATCCGGCGGACATTGCACATCGATGCGAATGGCGCAATCGGATTGGCTAAACGCCCACGAGCTTTCAGCCAATGGCCTCGCGTATCCTTGGAACCAATCGCGCAGAGCCCAATCAAATTAATATGGTCAAGCGACGCCGCAACACGGGCGACGGCGCCAAGAAGCGCTTCAAGGCCGACAAGAAGGCCGAGTCGGTCGCCGAGGGCGAGGCGCCGGTGCCTGCCACGGGCAACAGCAACGACACGGAGAACAAGCCGACGCCCGAGCTCATTCAGGAAGCCAAGTACTACCTCGAGCAGTGGCAAAAATTTACGGCCGACCCCAGCGCCAAGACCGAGACCGGCGAGCCGATTTGGCGCTTCAAGAAGGCCAAGCAAGTGTGGATCCTGCGCTGGATGTACCGCGCCGACGTCGTCAACAAGGCGCTGTTTACGATCGTGCTCGAGTACCTCGGTGGCATGCAGGGCACGGCGCGCGACCGCGTGCTCCGCGAAGCCCAAGACGTCGTCGACGCGACCAAGGACGACGGCGAGAAGGTGCCCGAGGCCGAGCAGACGCTCGAGCAAAAGCTACTGCGCCGGAAACTGAAGCGCGCGTACCAGATCGCCAAGGTCTTGGCGTAAGAAGAATTGGCCATTCAACCATCTACTATTCTAGCAACAACAACCACAATCCCTTTGAAAATCTACGCGTTGTTTGCATTTATACTGCGCTGCAGTGTAGCCACTGTTGACGCTGGGGCGACGGTCCAACCTTTGCGAGGCTTTCGACGTTGCGATGTGGAGAATGGATGGATCATCCCCAATGGGGATGATCCATCCATTCGTGGCCGTCAATGGGGATTCCCCATTGACGGCCACGACACGCGTCGAACACTTGCTGTAGTACTTGGATCTTTGGTATTAGTGCAAGGACGAAAGTGGCTCGTTTTAGAAAAGTGGCGGTTTATATTGACAATAGTGTACACCCGAGCGACGATCGCTCGCATTGCGCCGACCGACTAGCGGCGAAGATACCCACCATACCCCTTGTTGTCAACGCGGCCATACGCTCGCTTCCCGTAGTCCTGGCCAGCGCCGTAGCTCGGCCCACCGTACGTCGGGCGCCCCGAGAGAGATGGGTACCCTGAGCTAATGGCGCCCCGGACGTTCGAGCGGCTGTACCCACGATCCCCGTAGTTGTTGCCATACCCGGTGCCGCCGTTGCCATATTCTGCGTCTTGTTTGCCGTAGCCAGCACCCTGGTTCCCATACCCGGGGCCGCCATTGCCATGGCCCTGGTCGCCGTAGTTGATACCTTGGTCGCCGTAGCCGATGCCTTGGTTGCCATAGCCAGCACCTTGGTTGATGACACCACGCTCGCCGTATCCAACCCCCTGGTTACCGTAAGTACCAGCTTGGTCGCCGTACCCATCGGCCTTGTAGCCATCGGCCTTGTAGCCGTAGCCAACGTCCTGAATACCGTAGCTCCCGCCCTTGTTGTCGTACTTGTCAGCCTGGTTCCCGAAGTTGCCGCCCAGACGAGTTTCGTCCGTGCCGTGGTCACCGTCATGACCGTTGGATCCAGTTGTCAGAGGCGTTGACGCATCGAGGCTGCCAGTGCCCGAAGCTTCTTGGCTCGGCATCGCGCTGACCAAGGTGGCGGCCATCGGAACAATGGTGGCGTCTTGCCCAGCGACAGTCGCAGCGAGCGCAGCAAAGAGAAGAGCAATTGAGTGCATGGTAGAGATGTGGAAACGAGTGCAAAATGCAAAGTGCATTGAACGGCCACCAACGACGGTGCGTCGACCACTATAAAATAGACGTGCTATAAAACCTAGCGCCAATGGAGTGGACCGTCAATTGGTTCGTCTTGACCGAGTCTTGTGCCATCTAGCCAACGATCCGTTCGATACCATTGCCCCTTGCCGAGGGATCACGTCAACGTTTTTCAAGTGCTAGGGACTCGAAAACATCGCGTTTCGACCAAATAGACGACCAGACAGGCCCTTTTATCCTGCTGGATTGGACTGCCAACCACAAATTCCGTGTCCTTCGATGACTTCGAGGTATGCGTTGGTGGTATTAACCGAAACTCATTACGCAAGCGTGTCGTTCCGGTACCCCTAGAGGCGTGCATATGAGCTCCGGATCTGGCAAGTACCTGCATGCATCTCAGGTCTAGTGGCAAGTGCAAAGTCGGAATAATCTTAAGTGCAATCTATGGATGTATCGACTTGATAGTATACTATCTATCCCAGCGATAACGCGGCGACTGAGCTCAAGACGAGGCCGATGCACGGCATCATTGTCGACGCCGAGCTGGGTTTGGGTGTCGCGGACGACGGCGGCTTGGTTGTGTTGCTGCCGCACTTGAGCGCTGCCAGCTCTTCGCTTGAAAAGGCGTTTTTCACACCCGGGTGCGTCGGGGTGTAGGTCGATGTGAGGCTACCGCCTTGGGTCCACGTGCAGCACGGATCCAGGAGCTCTTCGCCGTTCGTCGCGCCGTCGCCGTCCGAGTCGAGTTGGCACAACGTCTTGGTCCAGCCCCCGCCGTTGGCGCTAAAATCGCTCCCGAACGTGTTGCGGCTACCGCCGCCGTTCGCGCTGGTGTGCCCCAGGGCACTCACGCTGGGGACGTTGGCGCCGTTGGGGAGACGTGCGACGTACGACGAGCGCGCGGCGACGCCTGCGACAAGAAGCGCAAGAGTGAAAAGTTGCATTTTTATCAATGGAGGAATATACATCTCGCATTTCCGCAGGCGTTGAACGCGATTTGCACCCGCCATTTTCGATTCCAACACGGCGAAACGGCATCACGTGCTGGGAAAACGAGTGCCAATGGCTTCCAACGCCCACGCTCCTATTGAGCGAATGCATTGTTCAGGCGTTGAAGGCGTTTAAGGCGTTGAAGGGTTAACAGCACACTTAAACCCTAAGATTTGGGCGATTCCTCCACCTCCAGTTGTCTCAGGATGACAAGTGGTCGTTGAAGAAGAGGTGAAGACGGTCGGCCAGCGGCAGATATGGGTTCGGGTTGCGGTACACGGCCACGGCGACGACGGCTTCAATGAATTCGCCAAACGTCAAGTCGAGCTCGAGGTCGTTAGGCGAGACGGTCGCCTCCGTGTGGTGCATCGCGCTCAGAAAGACGAGCTTGGCGCGCGCGACCGGAAAGATCGCGTCGATCAAATGCCGGTCTTTCAACCAGCTGCTGAATTCCGCGAGGTTCATGCTCTTGGCCCGGTGCTCGACAGCGTAGAACGCAAATACCTTTTTGAGCTTCTTGTCAGCGGCGCGCACGACCGCTTGCACGTCCGAGGCGCCCAGTTGGCGCTTGAAGAGCGTCAGGCTCTGCTTCGCGCGCTCGGCCGCGAGCTTCAAGAGTTTGCTCTCGACAAAGTCCGTGACGCTACCCACGAGCGACGGCGGCGCGTCGGTCGTGGCGGCTTTCTGGCTCAAGTGGTGCGCGACGCGGACAATGGCTTCTGCAAACTCGTGCGTCGAGAGACTGCGCTCGGCTCCGACGTTGTCGTGGACATCGGTCGTGTGCTGCACAAGCACTTGGAGATAGCCGCGCGCCATGAGTTTGCGATCAAAGACACCCGTGTCGGCGATCAGCTTGCAAAATTCGTGCTCTGAGAGCGAGAACCCACCGGCGCTGACGCCGCAGCTCTTGAACAAATCGAGGAGCGGCACCACGTGCGTCTGGAGGAGGCTCTGGATCGCTTTAAAGTCGTCTGGGGCCGGACACATGAACTCGAGGCGGCTGTAGTTGAGCGCCACGGACGCGGCGAGGCGCTGCTTGTCGAGTGCCACTTGCACATTGGTACATCGCCCGCTGCTGCGGCGTGCGACGTCCTCGAAGCCATACGCGAGCGTGTGCTGGGTGTGCTGGCCCACGATAAGTGCCGTTGCGTGGTGCAGTCGCAGCGCGTGGGCTTGGGCGTGCTGGACCGTCTGGAGGTCGCGTAAAATGTTGCGGCAACTCTCGCGCGTCGCCGCGTCCGACTCGTACGCTGGAAAGATATCGGGGCGCAGTGCGGCCCAGACGCCGTCGATTGACAAGTGCAGCTCGCTCGTCGGTGCGTCCCCAGGCGGTGTCACCGAGAGGTCGTGAAACTGCACAAACAAATGGAGGAGCACCAAGTAGTAGGCGCTAAAGTCGCTGCTTTCCATGTCGTCGCGCGTCGCCAGCTCGTGCCCAAGCGCTGCGTACATCGCCGCCAGCTCAAAAAAGAGCTTCCACTGCGCGCGGTGTAGTGTGTGGTGTGTGCTTGTGGCGAGCAGCGGGTCGCGATGACAAGCTTCGTCCCACCGCTTGTCGTACGCTGCTTTGGACGCAGGTACAAAATACCACAGCAAGTGGAGAAGGAGCTTGGGCGACGCCATGTGCAGGTAGACGTCGCTGAGCGTCGGTAGCGGCGCGAGTACCGTGAGCGATGCAGTCGCGTTGATGCTCGTGATCGCAGCGTTAATCCAGTGCAAGACGATCGCATGCGGGGGCTCGGCCGTGACCCGCGCTGCCACGACGTTTAGCGTCGTAATAGAGGCGAACGGCACGTCCATTTTGGGCACGGTCATGTCGGCGACGAGCGAGAGGTCGTGGACCATGAGTGCGTCCATGACCGACTACAGACACCCATTCGATCGTGTTTATAAAACGAACGAGACGTACCGATGCGCACGTGGGTTCGAGGGCGTACGCGACCGTGTCGGGTGCAAGGGCTTTATAGTGCAGTAGCTCTACAACCATATCATTCAAGACGTTGTTAGGGATGGCAAAGCGAGATGGATCGCGCACGCTGGAGGCGGAGATCGACAAGTGGCATGAGCTGGGTCGTCACGGCGACGATTTGGTCCATGGCCATGACCAACGAGCCTTTGACTTCGTTGAGCAAGCTCTTGGCCTTGACGAGCTCCTACGGCCACGATCGAAGCGTTCGCATTGCAAAAGACAGTACTACCTCGGCCGTCTGGGCTTGGTTGTTGGACCTACAACCATCCATTTACAGTCAACAAAGTTACAATCGAGTTCAGATATAGTACAAAAGAGTGTCCTTCATGCGTTGGCAGCGCTTTCGAAGCCGCTTGGTCACGAACCGCATCCAGAGCATCCACACACGCTGCTTGGCGAGTTTGCGGCGTCTATGCATCAGCATATCAACTTGATACACATCGCACACAACGCATACTTGTCGAGCGCGATCGTCCAGCGAAGCGCACGCTGCTCCTGGCACATGTCTCGGAACGCGGCCCATGCGCGGAACGTGTCGGCCTTGCGCCGCGACCGCGCTTGCATGTCCTTGATGCGGATGAGGCGCGCCATGATGTCCTCGCTCGCCGTCGCTTCGGCGCGAACCTTGTGCCACGCCTTGAAGATCATGCGCATGATGTGGAAGCGCAGCGTGTCCGAGGTCCGACTCATGATGTTCATCGCGACGCGGGTCCGCACCATGGTCGCTTGGCGGAACGCGGCGTCGGCTTTCAGGGCCTCGGCGTCAAACTGGGCGTAGCGCAACAGCTTGCGTGCCATCTACTCGGTATGTCACTGGCGAGAAGCCATGAGTGTCATTTGTCCACCTTGCTCGCAGTGATGTGGGGATCGAGGCTCAAAAGCGTGTTGACCACATAGTGCATGCGCGGTGCCTCGCGCATGCGCTGGCAGCCGCAGAAGGAGCACTGGAGCTGCCAGAGCATGTTGTTGCCGTGGCAAAACCCGCAGCGCGGCGGTGGCGCGTGCGATGCTGGCGGCGCTTCGGTTGAGCTGAACTTGACGTACTGCAGCGTGCCTTTGCCATACGCGACTCCGACGACCGGGCGCCCCTTCGCGTCTACAATGTCCGGGTGCGTCGTCGACACCCGGCGATGGCGCGTCTCGAGTGGGTCGACATCGGTGCTGCTGGTCGTCGACTGCCGGCGGCTTCGAAGCCGTGATGCACTCTGCACGCTGCGAAGGACCTGGGGCGCCTCGCATTTTTCTTGCGGCACACCACCGCACAGCGCCTGCTGCTTGTTTTGTACCAGCTCGTGGATCGACGCGCGCAGCGGCAGCGAGGCGCAGCGCCCGGGCGAGCGGCGAGCTGCTATCTCGGCCGCGTCGCTCATGATGTCGTCGCCTGTCTAGGCGCTACCGGTTACGTGTGGCGGTTTCGCGTGACCCAAGCTCTCGCAGGACTGGATGAGAGTGATAGGAAGAGATCCGTGGACAGGTGTTGGCTCGATCCCACGATCGTCGTCGCTCCAACGACGACCAAATGGTAATAGTGATAGGCACGCCTCACTAGACAAGTAGCACTTGGTCGGATACATGAAATGGATTTTCTTATTAATAACTGCGGTCGTGGTTACTTTAACATGGTTTCCTCTAATGCACTGTGCCTTTTCACACATACTACAAAATGCCAAGTGCGAAGAGGAAGAAAAATGAAGCTACTGGATTGTGATGGTGGTGTTTTTTAAAATCTTGATGTTGAACGCGAGGCTCGTGATCGCTGTGTACTTGTGGTCGAGGAGATAGAGGTTGCGGTCGCCATCTTGTACGACTCGGCAGCCCGTGTCACCGGTCGCGGCTGCACTCTCATCGGGCGCGACAGCCGACAACGACGACAACAAGGGCTTGTGGGGCGAGGTTTGCGGGGCCTTGACGGTGACGGCTTTGCTCTTGTTGGCCCGCAGCCCTTTCTCTGGCAAGCCAAAGCACACGAGGTGGCTCGTAAAGAACCACTGCAGCGTACTCAGTCGGCGCGCGGTCACGATGATGACGGACGTATCGGGCGTCACGTCGTCGAGGTAGTCGCATAGGATCGAGCTGCTGTTGAAAATAGCTTGGCGCGCCAGTGAGTTTTTGGTCATGACGCGCCAAAATTTTGAAAAAATCACGTGGTCCAGCGCTGTGAGGAGCAGGACGTTGGCGATCAAGCCAATGGTGATGGATGATGCGACGCGCATGTAAAACCCATCAAAAACGTTGACGCAGATGCCGTCGATGCGCCGAACCGCGTTGCGCACATCGACAGTGATCGAGTTGTTGTACTCGATGAACGGCGGCACGTAAAAGAGTAAAACCGCACTGGCATACAGCGTTTTGACGCTGCTCCAGTTGAAGAAGCGCATGACGACGCTCTCGCCATTGAACGTCGCGACGCCGAGGAGGTTCCAGAGGATTTTGCACCCCTTGAGGATCGCGCAGTTGACCCAGAGAAGCCGTGTCGACAGCGAAAAGAGCTGGAGCGAGTAGAGAAACTGCGGCGCGTACATCGTGTACAAGTTGACGTTGCGCATGTACAAGAGGCAGTTGGGAATGTCGATGAGGACGCTCGCCGCGTACAGAAACACAAAGATGTCCGAGTTGTAGCAAAACATATCAAAGCGCAGCGCGTGGCTTTGGTGCCGGAAGACCTTGGGCAGCACGGTGCGGACTGCGCGCGTCAAGACTGACTCGGCCTTGGTCGGGTCCACGTCGTGCCACTGGACCGTGCGGCGGCTCGCAAGGTACCCAAAGACGGCAAACACAATGGCCGTAATCTTAGCCGCCAGGGCGACTTGGCCGAATGCGCTGTTGGGCATGATAAAGCCGAGCTTGTAATTCGATCCAGGCAGGAAGCGCGAGCTGGTGACTGTGAGCGTCTTGGTCGTGTCGTTGTAGACCATGGTCATGTTGCAGACCGAGTACCCGAGCTCGGCGACGGGGTCGCAGCCCGAGCAGAACGACCGAGAGAAGATGCGGTAGTAGTTGACGCGGTGCGTCTGGGGCACACTCGAGTTGAGAAGGGCAATCTCGGTCGTAAAACGCTTGTCGACGGTCGTGCGTCCCGGAATGTAGTTGCGATCTATGAGCTCGTCGCTCGTCATACTCGAATTGCCGAGGTTCGCTGTCGTATCGTCCGAGAAGAAGTGGGTCATGGCGTTGCCCCGGAAGAATGTGACAGCATCCGACAGCAGCGCGAGCTTGACCTTGCTCGAGACTGCCACGTCTACCGCGTACGTCGACTCGAAGATCGGGCACAACACCGAGTCGGGCGTGAGCGGAATGTCGCCGGTTTGAATGACATAGATCTTGTCGCTCTTGGTGACCATGTGCACGACCGAAAAGTTGGACATCCACTGCCCCAAGTTGGACAAGTTGTCGACGCCGAGGTTCGTCGCAAAGCTGTACTTGGCGCGGAGCTGCGCTAGCGACTGCACGGACGCGATTGGCGTCAGAAAAAAATACCCGCCACCCAGAAAGTTGCCGATCGCCCAGTTGTTGGCTGTCGCGTCGCCCGCGATCAAGAGGATGACGCAAAAGCCCGCGACCGTGACGATGACTTGGTACCATTTACGGAGCTGGAAGCGCCAGTGCTCGCGGCGCACCGAGGCGAGGATGGCTGGCGTCGGGCTGGTCACCATGGAGTGAGTTCGTTGATTTGACTTCAACTCGTCGGCTTTTCTCGCCGTTGTGGTGCACTCGACCTAAGAATACACACTGGAAATGTAACGGGTCCACGCTAAATCCAACAACAGGCGCCTTGCACACAATGGCGCGCCAACGACTCGGTCGCGTGCTGCGGTGGACCAGCTTACGTTTTCTCACTCGTTCCGTCGTTCAGTAGGCTGCAAACTCAATACTAGGCTCTCCGCCTGAATGCGATTGTTCTGATCACGTCGTGCTTGCGTGATTGCATGGGCGTCGGTACCCTATTTTGAAAATCCACGCGACGATTATGTGATCAGGAGTTCTTTGCTGTGTGATTGGTCCTAAATTCGGACCTCTCAACACGCGGGCGATAACGCACTTTTTTAACAATCCCTGTCCGACCGCTTCGACCCAAGTACAAGCTTGTGTTTCCCTTTCTCTTGATCCAGCGTTGCTACAATATTGTACCCGATGCAGAAGACTCGCAAGAGGCCGCAAGGGGGCAAGGTTGCAAGCAATCGAACCGGATCCGGAAAAACACCACGTATCTTTATCCGGATTCCGGTTGGACCCAACTTTCGCGAGCGCAAACCAATCCTCGGTGGCACTCGGCACCGCAGCGACCATTGGAAGCGTCTCTATTTCCATTCATGAGCGATGCGATGCGACAACACTTTTTTAACGAGATCGTAGCAAGCACAAGGTCCCTGTTGACATCGTGGTAGGAGATGATGGCTCATCGTTCTTGGGCCGTATCCACGGCGCCAGGCCTGCCATAACATCGTTCCGAACCTGCCGGTGCGGTGGATGGTATTAATAAATCCAACACGACGAACTGATGCTTCTCCGAAATGCAGTCCCCTTCGCTGAACCTGTGGAACACATGCCACAGTCATTGTCATGGAGTTGCTACAGAAGCACGAAAGCCAACTCCAGCGCTACCAAGGCGAGCTGTGGAATCGTGCTTTCTGTCCCCCGGAGCAAACTTGCCTCCAACGCATCAGGAACGGCAGATATTAATAAACCTGGTCGTTGGTGAAACGTCAGCAATCAGCACCACACGACACAAAAATGGACACTGCTGTGATTCACGGGATGTCCCGCAGCGTGGCTCCACGCAGCAACCGGATAAAGATACAAACACAGCACTGCGTGTTTGTAACCGGATCCGGTCCAATGTCAACCTTGCAGCAAGGTTACCCACTGCAGCAAGGCCCTTGCTGCAGTGGTGTCGTGCATGGATGCCGTGTGGGCTGCCTTCTTGACGAATCTTTGACGCTGGTGGCATTTGCACATGGTGCGTCAACTGCACGCGGCGCATGTCAGATGCTTCTATCAGCGGTCCATGGGGTTTCAAACCGTCGGTCGTGCTAACGTGACCGACACCAAACGACGGCGTCGCCACGAAAGCTTTTCGTACCGTAGTACCAACTACTAGTAGTAAACGATGCACTGTGCCTCATTCGAAGGGTGGTGACAAGGCGCCAAACAAAGATGGGGTGTGCAAGCAGGACCCTGTATTATCAACCATAGATGTGTTGATGATGAGAGCGTCGTATTTTGAGGGGTGTTAAATTAGAACGTCGTCCCACTCTATTTACCCTCACAAAACGAGCTCTAGAACCTTATACCTTCCTGAAGACCCCACCCTCCTCCCTACTGCGGCGCTCGACTGCCCGCAAGGCGGAGATGCCAACGGTGCCCCCAAACCCTTCAGAAACCAAGGGGAAAATCGGACGACGTTTTAATTTACAACCCATCAGAATACGACGCTCAAATTGAATTCCCCTGCGTTACATGCCACCGCGACGCAACGCTTAGGACGAAACGGTTGCCTCGAGGTCGTTCCCACGTTTGCATTCTTCAAACGACCTCGTGTAGCCCACTCGCGCGAAATCGACATTATGGCATCCCGTAGCTCGCTGACGCCCGGGGGGGGCGCGTACCTGGTCGCCAACGCCGCATCGACGACGATCAAGTCGAAGCGCGGCACCGCCTTCATCGTGAACCGGGCGTATGCGCTCGTGGTCTCGACCGTCTCGCTCCTTGTCGTGGCGCTTGTCGCGGGTGATGCCGTCGTCAACAACTGGACCATGCTCAACTACCTCGGTGGCGGGTTCTTCTTCATTACGCCGATCGCTGCAGTCGCTAGCATCGACCAGCTCAGTGCGCAGTACAGCTTTCCACGCCACCTTGGCATGCACAATCTGTCCAAGGTCGGGCGCTGGATGGCCAACTACTCGGTGATCAACATGGTCGCCAAGAGTGACCGGATTTACCTCATTAACACGGGCGACATTTTGCTGACCGCCGACTCGGTGCTCTGCCCCATCTTTGCCAAGACCTATGGTGTCGATATGGGCGCAACCAGCTTTCGCGTGAGCCTTGCGCTCGCGTCGGACGCCGTGACGCACTTTCGGGGCAATGCACTCACGCACTTCTTCACGCGCGACGAGACCGAGAACCTCGGCAACACGAGTCTCTCGAGCAAGCAGCTCATTCAACTCAACTACATTCCCGGCCGCATTACCGTGGACAAACGCTTCACGACCGAGTTTACCCTCCTCAACTCGAGTGTACCCCAAACCCGGGTCGTCAACTACTACCGCATATTTAGTCGGTCGTTCTGCACGGGGTGCGATCCCGTCGCCGAGCTCGGGTACTCGCAATGCAACATGACCATGGTCTACAACGACAGCGCACGAACCGTCCAAGTCACGCGCTCGGAGTTTGTGCCGGGGTCGGTGTACAAGCTCGGCTTTATCATGCCCAGCACGGTCCTCGGGCAAATCGCGCTCGCCGCCAAGATCATTGCGATCGTCTTTGCGGTTCTTTCGTACATTGCGAGCCGCCGGACCGTGCAGTGGCTGGACGTGGACCCAACGCGTAGCGACTCGCTCCTCACGCGCGTCCAGCGCGCGATCGTGCCCAAGTGCTTTCCGCACCAGAGCCACGCGCTGAGTTATAGCATGTTTTGCTACAACTCGGACGTCTTTGTCTTCTTGTACGCGTTTAGCGTGCTCATTGACATCCAAAATTGTCTCTTGTACGTCCGCAACGTCAACTTGTACACGATGTACGCGCCCCAATTTGGCTATGCGCTGCAGCTGTTTGCTCTGAGTTCGCGGCTGCTCTGGGTCAATTGCGCGATTCTCAAGGGGTGCAAGATCGTCTGGAACCTCCTTGGCACTGCTGCGTTCACCGGCGACAGCTGGATCATGGGCCTCTTCAACCTCAGCAGCGTCACATCGCTCTATTTGAGTGCGATTTTTCTCTTTTACGTGCCGCCGTTCATCGAGTACAACAACGCGATCATCGTGAGCGTCACCAACGCCGCCGAGCGCATCGACGGCATCTGCTGCGAAGTCTTTGACGGCTTTTACATGCGCGTCGCGTCGTCCATCACTGTCGGTCTCTTCGCCAACCTCGTCTTCGTCACTGTGCTAGACCACATTGTACACTTGAAAAAGTGGCGCGCGCTGGCCCAGCACTCGTTGGCGCGTCAAGCCATCTACAATAGCTCGTCGATTGTCTGCGACTACATGGACGATATTTACGACGCGCACGACGGACCCATCTTTGTGTGCCACGCGCGGCGCCTTAGCACGCTCTACTGGTTCTTCACGAGCCACCTCTTGCTCTTTGGCCTCCCAGAGAAGAAGAGCCTTCGCGTGCGCAAGGCGTCGGCGCTCACCGTGCAAGCCAGAGTCGCCTCGTCGGGCTCGGCGACGCCACCGGTGCAGCCGGTGGTCGTGCCCGAAGAAAGCAACGACTACATGGTCGTGCAAGACAGCGACCACAACCTCCACATCCTTGACGGTAAGCTGGCGGAGGTCACAAGCCTCGTCTTCAACATCAAGATCCTCAAGAATACCACCGTCACCATCAAGTAGATATCGAACGTCTCTCTATTTGTATGTCCATGTGTGTATGCGTGCGTATCAGTCGTGTTTGAGGGTCTGCTTACTATGTAGTACAGGAGGTAATCCCCGAGGAGGGCTTCTTGGTCCTTGTTGCACTCGAGTAGAACGACAATTGTGGCATGGAAATCGAATTCGTCATCCGATTCATACAATAATATTCGTAGTCAATGTGGAAGTTCAACCCGCTTCCAGAGACAAAATAGCGACTACCACAACCGAGTGAAGCGTGCCCTGCGACATCGGTCATGAGCACTGGTGATGGGCATGAGGCGTGTTCATGTGGGATGGTATACAAATGGCAAGTCTTGCCTTTTTGATTTGAAGGGTACACTTGAAATTTGTAGACTCGATGAAATGTAGCACTCGATGGCGATGGTGCCACTGCTGGTGGGATGCCCGCCACAACAAAGGGGCCATTGATCGCGCCTTTCGAGCGTCAAACTTTCCTCTTTTCTTCTCCTTTTCAATTTTAAAGTTTAGAGGGCCCGCTAGATTGTGCGCTGTCCCGATATCAAACCGAAACCACAAAGCTCGGCCACACTGCCCCGAGAAAACGCGAGGTTTGCGTAGTCGGTAGGGATCGCGACTCGTGTCGACAGGCCTAGCTTTGCTGTCATGACGCGGATCCATGTTTTCGTCGCTCAAGGGTAGCCCGTTGTACATACGTGCACGCTTTGCCGGAAGGAGCAGCCACCGTAGACGCTATGAAGAGCACCATATGAGCTTCGTGCGCATGTCTTGGTCCAGAATGTTGCGATGGGTCTTGTACCGGTACTCCGTCGGCAGGCGCTCGATTCGGTCGTAGGAGTCCACAGAGTGAGCGATAGAAGGAGTGCACCGAGCCACGGCAAGCGCCTCTGGCGTAGATCTTCCAGAGCGCGGTGGCGTGACCACAGCCCTTTTTGGCCCTCTCCACCAATGTTTTGATGCGCCTCTGCGTGTCCTTGAGCTGCTGGCGCTCAGCAGCAGGCAGACTTAGAAGCTTACCGTGTTGGAGGTCGAAAACAAGTAGGTGCTGGGCCGAGACGCCGCGGTCCGACGTGACAATGCCTGCGAGCTCGGGGTTCCACGCCGAGGCTGCGATCGTCCAGCCGTGCTTCTCGGCCAAAGAGACGGAACGCGGTTTGGACTGCCGAGAGACCCGGTGCACATGCTCCAGCATAGCCATCGTGCCGGCTTCGAGGGTCTCGTCCGGCGTCGAGTACAGCGGCGACTGGTATCTAGTCGTGGCCGAGCTCTTGCGTCGCGGACGATACGTGAAGCGGCACCTGTACACGTCGCCGCACTCTTCGCAATCGAAGCATGTGCCGGGCGTCAAGGTCGCAGGTCCCATACAAATCGACACCTGCTTTTAGCTTCGTGCAGCTTGAAAGCCGGCATGGGAAAGTCATGAGGACACATTGTGTCTTTTTGGCCATTCCAGCTTCTACAAAATTGTACTATGACAACTCGGATATAGTGCCATCACCCAAACATTCGAATAGATTGACGGCGTGCGCGTTGACGTCTTCAACGGTTTTTACATCCGCGTCGCACGTTCGATTGCGCTCGGACTCCTCCTCAACGTTTTGCTCGGTACCGCGCGCACAAAAAACGGGGTCTTTTTAGCCAAAAACTGCTTGGCGCGCCAAGCGAACAGCACCCCGATTGTCTGCGATTACTTGGACGGCTGCCTGGGCTGCGCATGAAGAAGCAGTCGCTCAGCAACGTACAATCGCACCTCCAGACGCAGCAAACCGATACAACAATCTTCTTTGCAATCAGCGACGTCGTCTCGGTTCTGAACGCTGAAAAGCCCGGCGGCAGCAGCGACGACATTCGCGACACGGTCGACATGGTCACCCAGGAATACATGGTCGTCCAGGACAGCGACCGCACCTTCTCGACGGTCAGCTCAACGACGTGACGAGCCTCGTCTACACCAGCAAGGTGCTAAAAAAACTCTTTTGTCACCATCAACTAAGACAACACCATTGTCCAATACACAAACTGCACGCAAAGATCCGAGCATAGCCCAGTTGGTAGAGCGTTTGACTGTAGTTGGGTATCCGTATACAAACTGCACGCAACTCGACATCCAACACACATGTCGCAGATATGACCTGCATTCTCAAAACGTCGAGTGTTGGTCATCGTCATCACAGCATCACTGGAACGTGCCTCGAACGCCGCTCGTGGCCAAGAGGATCGTCGCGCTGGCGATGTCACTTTGCCTTTTGCACAATGACGACCACATCGCCCGTGCCGCTGCGCGAGATCATGGACGAAGCATATGCACGCGCCGTCGCTGCGACACACGACGACCTCCCTGAAGGCTATGACCCCAGAGACTTCGAGGACAGCCTCCCCGACGGCTATGACCCCAAGGACTTTGAGGATGACTTGCCGCCAGGCTACGATCCACGTGATTTTGAAGATGGTTCCGGCTACAGCGTCGACGCGCTGGCGGCGGACGTGGACTACGCCTTGGCACTCTCGCTGCAAGAGGCGGAGGCCGACATCGATGGCAGCGACTATACATCGCTCGTTTTGACGCAAGCCTCAGTGTCCAACGACGCGGACGACGACGACTATGATGAGGACGACGAGGACGACGACGTCGTGCCCGCCAACTTTGACTTTTCGGTCGCGCCCAAGGACGACAAGCCCAAGCGCAAGAAGCGGGTGCAGAAGGACGCCCGTCGGTTCTACAGTGCCGCCAAGGTGGCCGCGGTGCCTCGTCAGCTCCTCGCGCTAAAAGGACGGCTCGACGACGTGGATGCGCTCATGACGTTCCTCTCGACGCAAACGAATTCGCTTGCAATCGACTTGGACGGGCACAAGATGTTTCGGGCGGCCGCGACTGTACGCGACGACGAGTTCTCTCTCTACGTCAAGGGCATGGAAGCCGATATGCAGGTGCTACTGGCGTATATCATGACGCAGGTCGAGTCGGTCGTCATATTGGCCGTCAAGGACCTTGCGGCCGCGCCCGAGCCGCTCGTGTGCCTCGATTAACCCGCCACACATAATATCACTATTAACCTTTGCATTTCACCGAAGGTGCGCGATTCGCCTGGCAGCATAAAGCAAGCACGTTGCAGTTGCCCTGCGCTGTCAAACCACGATGGTACAGCTTTGGTGGGAGAGGCTGCCGGCACCACCCCAAGCCATTCACGCTTGTACACTGCGGCAGAGTCTGCCAATCATCCTAGTACCTTGATTCAATTAGGGAGCTTGAAAGCACTCTAGCAGTTTATCAGAAGGGCGGCGGCGGCGTCTCGGGTTGGGTCATGGCCTTGGGCAAGCTCGCACTGCATCATGCTGCCACGTAAAAACCAGGCGGCATTCCTGATCTCGATCGACCTCAACTAGGACTAGCATACAAAAAATGAGTTTGGGCGTAGCCAAGGCATCGTTCCGAATTAGGTTTTTCCTTTTTCGAACGATGGAACAACGCTGGTCGTGTACATTGGCATGGCCAGTTTAAGATCGACGACGCGGATGCTCAAGCTGCTGCTGCACCACCACACGAAGGTCGGCGTCTTCCTCGTCGTC